AATACTTCAGTGGGTAGATGGTTGTTGAACGAAGTTGATATAGGTGGAATTTTGTATTCTGCTTTTAGCGAAGTATATTGGAGGAGGGCCGAAGCTCGGGAAAAAGGGGATAACCCCACACTAGAACCATTAAACGCGTGGCGAGCCTTAGATGACCAGAAATTGTTAGTAGAGTGGGAAAGCGAGCTGGCGGGTGCGAGTGCCGGTAAATATTCTACCGAAGCCCTCAGACCTTTGCTTCAACTTTGGGTAAAGAGGCGCTCGGGTCACCTCAGCTACCGACTTGTGCAGAAGTTGTCCGGACACGGATGTTTTGGTAGTTATCTGCACAAAGTAGTAGGGTGTGAGGAGGCACCAACCTGTCACCACTGTGTCGGAGGCAGCCGGGACGACGCCCTGCATACGCTGAGGGACTGCCCAGCATGGGAAGCGGAAAAGAGACCTTTGTTAGATGCTCTCCAGGGCGAGGACGCAATACTGCCAAACGTAGTGAAAGCTATATTGAGCGCAGGACATGACGGCTCGTGGAAAATCTTCTATAATTTCTGCGAGTCGATCATGAAAGTCAAAGAAGAAGCGGAAAGAACCAGGGAGCTTTGTCCCGGAACCCATCCGCGGCGGCGAAAGAAACCGCAGGCCCGTCAAATCCTCGCCACCTAAAGAGTGCCCAAGCGGGGAAGCAGGGTCCATGCGTTCAAAAGAAGGGATGATGATCCATCCCTGCAAGCACTGGATCCGATCTCCCCTAGCTATTCCTAAAAGCGTATGGCTCCATCTGTGAAGGATACTTGCTGTGTCAAGAATCTTCACAAATCAACAATGGGCGGGGAGAGGCGGACACAACCGCCGCATCGCATGTCGGGAAGCGGATAAGGCTCTGCTGTTACCGCATCCCGCCTAAGGCGATTGTTGGTGGCGCCTTGGGGTTTTAGTGGGTATGCACATTCGCGAGTCCCACATAACCCTCCCGCACTAAGCAGTCGCACCGCGGTAGGGTATGCGCAATGCATTTCCCCAAATAAAAAAAAAACGGTGGAATTTTGTATTCGCCTCAACATCCGAAGATGAAACTCAGTTCTGATATTAATACGAACAACCCCATGCGGTAGAAGATGCAGCAACCTCACGTCTCTACGCAACGCCAACGGATCAAGCCACTAGGAACGTGACTGGCTGTCGACGATACGAATAGCTCTTCGTTGAATATTCTCAAGTGGAAGTAGTTGGTACGGGGAGGCTTCCGCTTAGAGGTAAAAACACGAAGTGGAGCTGAATTGGTCTTTTAAAGAGTAGCAGTGGCCCGGAGTGAAGTACCGTCGCGCCTTGCTGTACACCAAGCTTTTTTGAGGCCAATTTAGCCTTTACTTTCCGCGAAACTGAACAATATTCCATATGTCAACGCCCGCTAGCTGAAACTTTAAGGAGAGTATCTTCGAAGAGTAGAGTAGCAAAGTGTTTACAAACCTACCAAAATTAAATTTAACCCTAAGAAGACACAAGTTTAAATTTAATTCAGGTTGGGGAATTCATTATGATTTTATGTCAATTGACTGTAATATAACAATTCTTGTTGAAGATGTCGAAAATATCTTGCCAAAATCCACCGCGGGAGAAGCTGCAGGTGGAACCTTGTACACGCTACTTAACACACAAACTTAATACATATATTAAGTAGAATTCTCGTCAAGTTAGTCTACATTTTAACATTAAAAAGAAAGAAAAAATTATTTATAATATTGAAAGGAGTGGTGTGTTAAACACAGCAAAATCTAAAAGCTCTCGCAGATTAAGGATTACATTTTTCCTAAGTAAAAAGGGGTTTTAAAATAAACGTAGGAAAATGTGATTTTTAAAAGAATTTTTTTGTTGAATTTCTGTAAGTAATCCAAATAATGTAGTTGGATCTGTACGCTTTGTAACAGGCTTAAAGCGAGTGATCTATTTTTTACTTTCATTTAATAAAACTGCAACGGATGTGGAACAAATAATCTTTATATGCTATAGCGGTGACACTGACTTATATTTTTGTTTTTGTGTGTTCGATTAGTGCAAAGTCAAAGTCAAATCATTTATTTCAATTAGACCACCTAAAATGGCACTTTTGAACGTCAAATAAAATATAAAGGAAGATTCTAGTAGCCCCTTCCAAAAGGTAGTTTTGTGTGGAGAAGAATTGGCCTGAAACTCCACACTTACTCTTTTGAAATAGGTTTATAATATTTTGTTTACATTAGTTAAATAATTATATGTGAAGACAATGTACTCTTAGAATAAAACTACTATACTATAAAAGTTAGTATACATGTTCCTCACATATTTACAAATATCGAAACCGTGTGTGAGATAAAATAAAATAATTACACTATAGTATTATAAATTAAAAAAAAATAACAAAAATATGTAAAAGCAAAAAATCAGCAACCAATTTGATTTTGTCCAGGCTCTATGATTGTCCTATGGAGCAGGACCAGCATGTTTCCTAGCATTCTTATCTTGAATATAATCCTCATAGTGTGCCGTGTCACACTTCAATCAAAATCGAATATCATTTATTCAAATAACTTTTGCGTTTACTGGCAATTATGTATTACAGAGCCTAGAACCGACAATATTCTCAACAGTGGCGTAGCTAGGTGACCAAGGGCCCTGGGGCAAATTAAAAAATGGGGCCCACTGCTATGTAAACTGATCAAAATATGAAATTTACAAATACTTTAAAAATGCTAAGCTACTTAAGCTTTTTTGTGCAGGGCAGGTAAAAAAAATATTAAACAGTAAAAGAACGCAAAAGTATCAATGACTTCGTTTAAATCCAGGCTTGATGCGGTTTTGTTTTCAATTGTTATCTAATTCGCGTTATACAATGAGCTGTAGCCGAAATCTTTAGATTTGACACGATTAATTGACTTTAACGGACATAAATATGAGTGGTAAAATCAAATAAAATTGAACCATTATATTTACCAGTACAAAAAAGCTTATTGACATTATCTTACTTACTCCTCATACAGCATTAATTTTTTAACCGTTCTCAAAAAAAATCCTAACTCGAATTCACAATAAAACGCACATCGATGAATAAAACGCACATATCACTATCCGTCAAATTGACAACACTGCCAACCTACAGAAAAAAATTGGGGGAATTCCCTAGGCATAACTTTTGAATTTCTCTCAACTGAGTTGTCATGATTAAAGTAGGGTTGCAATCTGTCATATTTATTTTGAAAATAGGAGAAATTTCCAAAAGTTCTGAATGATCGAGATTTCTGGTAAGGATTCGGGGGCCCCCTGAGCTTGAGGGCCCCGGGGCACTGCCCCGCTTAGCCCCTAGGTAGCTACGCCACTGATTCTCAACCACTATTGACTTAACTTGACCTAATAACCCCTAGATGGGGCAGAGGACGTTCACAGTGAGTCTACATTGCGTTCGGACCACTAATACTAATAAGTAATTACTCTCATTTTCTATGTTCAAAAAGTTCAAACAAACAAAGTGTTCTGAAAGTTAAATTTCTATCAGAAAATAATGTTTAATGAATAAAATCAATTTATAATTGACATTTAGCAATTAATTTATCATTGTATTTAAAATTATCGATATTTCAAATATTGATTCATATTTTAACACTTAATATAAGATTAAAGCCACACAACAAAGCACGTAGCCAGTTTCTTTCCACAGCCACATTGTATTGGAACTTTTCCCGTAAATTACAAGGTGTTTTTCCAGTCATGGAAGTTCAATATACTCGAAATAAATACGAGCTTAAGTTTAGACGTGGAACTTTGAAATTAATTTGTTGTACTGTTTTCGCTCTTTCTAATTTATAAATAGTTATGAAAGTTTCATTGTGGATGTAGTATGAGAAACGATTTTAAAAAAATCACTTGTGATTTTACACACGAAAGGTACACTACTTACTCTACCCATAATGAATTTCTGGCGCTAGACCACTAATGTTATTGTCATTAGTGATCTACTAGTAGTAGTACTACTACTACTAAGACTTAGGTTTCGTCGTCGTTATGTCAGGGTAATAAAAAAAAAGAAATATTTAACTTATTACACGTATTGCACAAGAAATTTCAATTTAATTAATGATAAGTAATATTGGTTCTTAAAAAATAGTATTATGCTTACGTCATTCCCTTGTGTGTTATAACAATCCGCGGGAAAGTCAATGACACTACTTGTTCGAAATACATAACTTTAGTTTAATATATTATGATGAGGGTGATCTAAAATATTTTTACTCGGGCGATCGTCACATTTTAGTCACTGTTTTGTTTCATTCGGATTAAGTAAGAATCATTTTTATTTTTATTTATACCTTTTTGTTAATTATATTTGTTAATAGTTACGTCCTCAATTTATAATTTTGTAGCGAATGTTTTGTGTGGATTCTTCTTTGCTCCGAATAGCGGAATAAGTAATAAAATATTGGAAACGTTATCGAATAACAATAAATTAATTCATTCATTTTACGAAAGCAAACAGCCGCACACACACATCATTTTACAGAAACTACGATCTTGAGGTAAATGAGGAGATGCATAACCAGGCTTTGATCTTGATCGAAGACATGTGTCATCAAAAAATGTTGTATATCAGAAAGTGCTTTAACATATTACGTGCTTTATCGCAATATTGGCGCTAGAGAGAAGAAGCCTAATGTGTAAAACTGCCATTCTTCTTTCGCAATGGCAAGCAATAAAACATTTCTGTATTTGCAAAAACCTTAATGAAATCCTAAATTAAGTTTAACTAAAGTTAACACGATATTATTATACTGTTAGGCGGAACGAAGTTAGCCGGGTCAGCTAATAACTAATAACATAGAATACAGAACTTTAACATAAAAACATACGTACTTAATAATAAATTACATGCGAAGATAACAATAACAAAAAGGTTTCTTACATTACTTTTGTGTTAAATATTATTATTTTGTTACAGACGTGGTAACTGCTGACAAAGTGATGTAGCGTCAGACATCATGGATCAATGGGTGACGGCTGCGAGCTCGCTACTAGCGTTCCTTCTCTACTACAATACGCTTGACGCGGGATTTGTTTACGATGACAGGTAATATTTATATTTTTTTATATTCTACATTTTCTTATTAAACATGGGTTCCAGGCTGTGTTCAAGTGATTTTTTGGATAGCAAAATCGTAAGTACACCGGCATGTCTTTGAGTAAGATTCAAAACCGAGATATTACTCTTCTACTTAGTCTCGACTGAATCTAACCGTAAGACCAACTAAGTAACTAAGATACGCGGAAGGCGGATGTTAAGTGTATTGAAAAAGATGCAGAGAATCTGAGGTCAAAACTGCCAATGGGATATTAGTAGGCAAGCAATCCGTTTTGTGACATACATTTAAAATAATACCTCAAGAAAACGAAGGTGTTATTTTTTTCTATTCAAAGATGAATTCTGCTTAACTATGTAATGATAATGAGCAGTGTTGGCCTAGTGGCTTCAGCGTGCAACCCTCAGGTCGTAGGTTCGACCCTCGGCTGTGCACCAATGGAGTTTCTTTCTATGTGCGCATTTAACATTCGCTCGATCGGTGAGGGAAAACATCGTGAGGAAACCGGCGTGCCTTAGACCCAAAAAGTCAAAGGCGTGTGACCGGCATTGGAGGCTGATCACCTACTTACCTATTATATTGAAATGATCATGAAACAGACTCAGAAATCTGCGGCCCAGACCTAAAAAGGTTCTAGCGCCACTGATAATAATAGGTAATGATAATAAAACATTTCTGAGTTATTACAGTTGAATGATTAAACTTAAATTTAATCATTTATATAACAAACATATTCACAATATGCCTACTTAAATCTGAAGCGTAATTATTTAAATAACTCTCGATAATTAAAAGGCTTTATTGTATCATTAAGTGCGATTCAAAAGTTACGTAATTTGAGAAAGGATGAAAAGCTCGTTAAAATAAATTTGACTTTAATAACAATGATTGTTTTCATAACGTTGCGATGTTAATTGCGAAAGCTAACACAGTTGTCGATTGAGTAACAACTAACGAGGTATTTCAAGATAATAAGCGATCATATTCGGTATATAATATATTTTATTGTTACTGTGATTATGAGTTGAGTTCACCTAGTTGCTGGATTTGTGTGTTTGATCTCTAGCTGAGCAATGGTTTTATGCGGTGAAGATAATATTTTTTAAACATAATAATAAAGCTTTTGTTGCGATAATAAAGTATTTACACTATTAGCTCTTATTCAAACGATATCTATGTAGCACCTCTTAGGCGCACACATAAGCTGATAGGCCAAGACTGTTCAGAGTGTAAAAGACTATCTACTTAGAGTAGATTGGCTACTTGCTTGTAAAGAACATCCGAAATATGCTGCGTACGCATCCCGGGAAGGTAGCACGATACTATCAATGAAATAGATGCAGTGTGGTCTGCAATAACATAGGTGAAAATTTTCAATGGCGATGTTAAAATTCAGAAACAATTACGTCATTGAAAATTGTTATAGCTAAACTGTTACCAACAATTAGATACTTGTGAAAATAAAAGTGTAGGTAAAACTGTATTCAATTGAAGATATTTTTATTTATTAGTTTTTAGTACCAACCAACTCTAAACTACAAATAGTTTGAAGAAACCTACGTACTCCACATGCTTGCCAAATTCTTCATCAATTTAGGTAGCTCCGCGGATTATTTCGTGTCTTACGGTTACGAAATAGTTACGTCCTTACATTACGAAGACGTCACCTCCTTGGAGGCTTCTCGGCTCTGGAAAGGATCAAAGAGCAAGGTCATACCTATGGCATGTGATTTATAGTAATCAGCTCCTACAAGCGAGCCTTCTTCTATTCTATTTGATCTTCTTACAAGCTTAATAGTCCTATACGTATACATATATCGTTCTTTTATTCATTTATAAAAGCTTGCCAACGCTCGGCACACTGATTGATACATTGGTACAAGAAAAATAAAATACAAGATATAATGTGACAAGCAAGAAAACTATAAATACTAAAGGGAGATTAATTTCAAAGTGTGAGGGGAGCACCTATGGATATCTCTAGATCTCAATTAGAGTCATCAGACTGCTCAATCTAGATTTCGCCGAGTTTTGGCCAAAACGCGTTCTTCTGAAAGTTTTGAAAGGTGATAACAAAAGAGTATCTAAAGTGTACACGAAATTTAAATTTAGTTAAATTTTTGGGGCAATTAACCTGATTTTTAAATATTTTGAAGCAAACGATATATCAATTAATTTTCCTACTTTTATAAATAAATAAATGTCCATTATGAGATTATTTGTAATCTTCACTTAAACTTTTCCAGATATAGGACATAGACCATTTATAACTAACAAAACACCCACACAGAAACACACAAAATAACAATAATATAAAAAATTTAAAATATGATTAAAGATATAAACATTTTTTTCTTTAAAGTACAAGGTACGTTTTAAATGTGCTATGCGCCCAGGCTCAGCATTTTGCTGAGCAGACTGTTCTATAGCGCTGGTCATTCTGCCAGAGACCACAGCAGCTAGTTTGCGCCTCAGTCGCAAAAACAGAAAAACAATATAACTATCAAAAGCATGTTAAAGGAATTTGAATTACAGTAGCATTATGATAGTTTGAAATTGTATTATTGTTGCACAGGCACCTCAGTCAGAGAACTGACATATGCAGGCTATTTGCTAACATCACTACATATTGAGTGGTAAGTGCATCTCAAGGCAGTGCTCGTTGATATGCAGCTACTTATGAGGCTTACTGTGATGTCGTCTCCATAATCCGCTTTGCAAGCGCCGCCGGGATTACTGTATAAGTTTTGCATTTCCATTATATTATTTACATTTTAATTAATTACTCCGTGGCTGGTTTCGAGATAAGCCGGTATAGTTATGTGATTCATACTCAAAATAGTAAGAATTAATTTGATACCTTATTAATAAGTTCCGTGTGTATTTAAAAAAATATAATTTAATAGTATAAAGAGTGCTAGATGACGTTTTATTTGAATAAAAATACAGATTAAGTATATCTCTATATACATAAAGTTCTCGTGTCACAATGTACGTTCCCATACTCCTCGGAAACGGCTCGACCGATTCTTATAAAATTTTGTATGCATATTCAGTAAGTCTGAGAATCGGCTACTATCTATCTTCAAACCCTTAAGTGATAAGGGGTGTCCAGGGGTTAGACAATTTTTTTTGTTTTTATCTTTTTATAATACAACATACAGAAATACATACAACCCTTAATTTTCACCCCTCTACGATCAACCCCTATTTTTTTATTATAGTAGATAGTTATTTTTATGGAACTAAACATTTTTTTCCTAGAAATAATATACATGGCAAAACAACGTTTGCCGGGTCAGCTAGTATAATTATAAAAATCATATTGAAGGTAAAAGAACACATTGAATTAATCTTCATATTAAACAAATACGATGCCTTTAGGGTATCAATTTTATTTATTTATATCTTCACACCTTTATCCCGAAGCAGTAGGCAGATACCATGGTATCCTTTTTGCTACGGTCCTGTCATACCTCTCCTACTTTATCCACTTTCACGACATTCACCATGTATGCTCGTTGGTTATGGGTACTTTTAACTTGTGTACCACCTGGATTTGGTGGATGTACGACAAGGCATACCCAACCCGACTTCACCAGCCATGGTTGCTTTGTATAAAAAAAACTACAACCTCTTTTGGTCTGGGCTTCAGATCTCTGAATCCGATTCATGATCATTTTTAAATCTAATAGGCAAGTAGGTGATCAGCCTCCAGTATCTGATACACGCCGTCGACTTTTTGGGTCTAAGACATGTCGGTTTCCTCACGATGTTTTCCTTCACCGTTCGAGCTAATCTTAAATGCGCCCATAGAAATAAAGTCCATTGGTGCACAGCCGGGGATTGAACCTACGACCTCAGGGATGAGAATCACACGCTGAAGCCACTTGGCCAACACTGCACTGGTTGCTTTGTATAACAGACTATTTAACATTCATCCGTTCTACATAAACCCCCTAAGTATTTTCTTTCGTTTCTTGTCATTACGTCCACTTTCTACTTACCCTGCTCACGTATCTCACTATAACTTATCCTATCCATTTTAATATATATAAACTATATTTGTTATGTAAATGGCATCCCCATTATAGGGATACAGAGCTGATTTGATTTCCAAATATCAAAGAAGGAAATAATAACACACAAAGTTTGTCTAGTCAATGGAATGTCACGTTACGCTAAATTACATCACGCAAGATAAACACGGAATCGATCAGATGTGATCACATCTCTTTGTTGTCTCTGCTTTCTCACTGATTCTATAGGAAATAAAAATAAACTATGTTATTTGTAGTCTATCGGCGTAGTGCCGTAAATCCGGGGCGTATTCTCGCTGTAATAAATTTCTTTGCACAATAATGATCGTTGAACTTTGTCCTGTACCACTGCAAACCACTCCAGTGTTTCGTAATTGAAGCCTTACGTGACGACGCGCCGCAGCTGCCCGCAACTTTCTCTTGGAGTTTTCTGAACTTTATCTCAATCTAAGTTTGGGAAATGAAACTAGTTTTTATTGAAACCATTCCGGAAATCATGCATTTTTGTTGGACTTCTCCGGACTGTTATAAAACGATCTTTGTTATTCCAGACGTACAAAAATAAGCTTTAAGACTATTGGAATAATATCGAAAACAAATATTGAAGTAAAATCTACATTGTAATGTGAATAACATGTCAGTTTATAGAAAACACTTTTTTAACAGATTGAAGTTATTTATTATTATAAACTTATAATTATTTACAACTTTTTCTTCAGCTGTCAACTTTTTGACATTCAACACCTTTGTCTTCAGTCACCGTGACCACGCACGCTGTAAAGCACGCACGTCGGATTTTTTCTTTAATTATGTAAAATAATTATAAGTTTACTAGTGGACCCCACAGACGTTGTCCTGCATGATATTTAAAGCGATTAGGATATTAAGCAAAGTATGAAAGTACCGACTACAGTGCCATCTGCCGGGCTGATTTGTGAATCTAAACCATT